ATTGAATTCAATCTTCTGCGCACATTTTTTTTTCTTGTGCATTGGCTGGTGTACCCCAAAATATCATAGAGTCAACAGATGCTTTCATTTTTTTAAAATTTTTTCTTCCAATGTGTCTTCTGGGCTTTGGGCTGAACAATTGATTCGAGTTTTCTTTTGCATATTTTACAATGACTTTGTGATAAAATCGGATAAAATATTTCCCTCTGGCAGTTCTCCCATACAGCTGCTTGCTGTTTCAGTGAAATTATATAGTGGACAGCTACTTCAGATCAGCCAAAATTTTCAGCAAGCTATTTTTAGTGATTCAGTGTGTTCTGACCAGTTTTCAGATAGTTCCACCAGACATTTTTCTTGGCTTTTCATATTTTGCCTTGACTTCAACAAATGCACATAAGTTCCATTATTTAACACCATTTCTCACAGTTGAAATTGCTACTTGGAAACATTTAGAGGTTTTTTTTTATAGCCCTGTCCTGCTTTGTAAGAGTGATTTATCTTAATTTTCAGCTGCTCAGACAACTGCTTAGAGGAGCTCATGTTGTTTAAAGTAGGTGGATCTGAGAAGCTAGTGAGGGGTCACAGTATTTGTTCTCTTGTGGAATTGTCTTTGAGTCCTTTGTAGGCCTCACAATTCGATCACTTTCTCGGTATTATTAGTCTCTTCACAGTTCAAAATAAAGCTGAATCACCTGGAAGGGTGTCCAAACCTGCTACATTCACTATTTGCTTATTTTTAAGCTGAAAACAACCACCTGTAATTAGCAAATACACATTCAGATTAGCAAAAAGATACCTGTTTAATTTGGTATCACATGAAGTTCGTGTCTGCTTCTATTCATTTAGGATTCATGTGGACATACAGCTTGATCAGCGGTGCTTAAATTTTTGCATGCAACTAAACGGGTCATATAGTAGAACATAAAAACAAATAGCCAAAACCAATAAAAAGCCATTTAAGATAATCAGTGTTGGGGAGAACTCAATTAACAGATATTTGAATTTCAGTACTGAGCTTGTCAGCTGGAAAGCTGACAGCCCTGGATTGAGACCCGAGAGCTGCGCAACGGGATGAGCTCCCATCCATGTCCCAGTTCCTGCCCCACCTAGCAGTTCTAAAGCATGCAGGTGCAAGTATATAAATAGGTACTACTTTGGTGGGAAGGTAATCGCATTGCGTGCGCCTTTTGGCGTATAGCCATGCTGGCCACATGACCACGGAAAATGTCTGTGGACAATGCTGGCTCCCTTGGCCAAGAAGCAGAGATGAGCGCCACCTCCCAAAGTCGGACATGACTGGACAGGGAGACCTTTACCTTTGCTTCAGTAGACAATCAGAGGGTTGTTAACTAGGAATGGATAGGGTGTAATGAAACTGTAGGCTTTTTCAAAGCCTCTGGGATGACTTTGAACTTAATGGCAAGAAGAGTTGGATAATAACCCATTTTGAACTAAGGGCTGGGAGACAGATGTAAAAAGGCAGAAGTACTCAGATGGAGTATGGATTTTTAAGCTTGTCTTGATGGGAAACTAGATTATTCAGCCTTTGTTGACCCTTGGCACAGCAACATTCAGCTGCGTTTGAAATTAATGCAGTTGTTCAAATATTTTCTAAAATAGTTACTTTCATTTTAAGGCCGAGCAATTTCCTGCTTCTTTAATGGAATGAAGAAAACCACTTGAATGTGATGGTTCTTCAAAGCAATATTACTGAGTTCTTACAATAATGTATTCCTGTATGTATGTATGTATGTGTGTGCATGTGTGTGTGTGTGTGTGTATGTATATATATATATATATATATATAAGCTATATTACTGCTATTTGGAAGAAGAGCATAGTGTCTCTGATTTCATTATTCTAACTTGGACAAACTAGCCATAGATGGATATAGGTGGTGGATACACTAAATGCAGATTAGTAATCTACATAAATTAGAAATATCTCTCCTTGCCCCATTACCTTCCTCCCCCACTGCCAAAACACCTACTCAATCTTGACTAAGCAAATTAAAGGTTTATTGTTGGATCTTGGTGCCAAAGTCCTATCTTCTTTGATGTACAGGCCTTCTTTGTGTAATCTGTAGGAGCAGTAATTAAACTTCTCTTGTGTAAGAAAGAGCTGCAATCAGATTTCAGCAGAAAGAAACCTTAAGAAAGGAGTATGTTGGTTGGAGAGCCGATAGCAACTATTACTTTTCTTTTTATGTCTTCCAGAGGGTTGTGTAAACAAGAAATGTGAAATGTCAGAAACAGAGATGATTAACTGATGGGCCATGGGCCAGATACTATTATGTGTAGCCCCTGGCAGCAATACTAATGCTCCTTGTAGATTTACTCATGCCTCCAGAAGTTGTGGTGTGCGCGTGGTGTAGCTCAGAGGTTAAGATGCTGGGCTTGTCAGCTGGAAAGCCAGCAGCCCAGGTTCGAGCACAACAAGATGGGGTGAGCTCCCGTCCTTGCCAACCTAGCAGTTTGAAAGCATGCAAATGTGAGTAGATAAATAGGTAGCACTTTGATGGGAAGGTAACAGCGCTCCATGATGACATGCTGGCCACATGACCACGGAATACAGAAGCCTGTCACGACCGAGTTATCGGAACTTTATCTCTACTCATGGTGGGAGATATCAACCGTTACTGATCGTCTCATTTTATGCATCCTTAAGGAATGAGGTCTTCATAACTTTACGCAAAAAGACCTAAAAAACAACAACAATAAGACAGAGAGTGACAAGTTTATTTGGATGGTAATTTTAATATCTGCCTGCCTTTCTTTGTCAGTGGGCAAATGTACAAAATCAGCAGGGGGTCAAATAATTTTTTCCCTCAACTGTACATACGGATGTACAAATATTTATTCATAATCTCATCATTTGTTTTTCTCAGATTCTTCCTCGCCAGTCACTTATAAATGTATATTACTAACTTTATATTAGAGCCTGACTAGCTAAACTGGTGAAGCGGGCACAGCAGCGCCTGCATTTTCTGTGCCGCATGAGAAAAGCACATCTTCCTTCCCCTGTCCTGACCACTTTCTATAGGGGGACAATCGAGAGCATCCTGTCATACAGCATCACAGTCTGGTTTGGAGGCATCATTGCTTCAGACAGGAAGACGGTGCAGAGAGTGGTGAGAATGGCCGAAAAGATCATTGGCAGCTCCCTCCCTCCCATCCAGGACATAGCACAGAAGCGCTGCTTGAGCAGGGTCCATAAGATTATCTGGGACACTACACATCCTTTTCACGCCCTGTTTTCCTTGTTACCTTCTGGGAGGAGGCTTCGTGGTATGCATAGCAGAACATCCAGATTCAGCCAGAGTTTCATTCCATACAGCATTAACCTTGCGAACTCTCAAGCTTCCTCCTTCCATTATATATTCAAGATGGACAATATTTAATATTTATTTGCTACGTATATGTAGGGATGTGGATCTATACATATGTTGTTCATAGTATGTTTAGATGTGTGTCATGTATGTGTTTTACTTTTGAGAGCGGGCAACTAAATTTCATTTTTGATGTGTCCCATTGTGCCCACAGTATAAAAATGACAATAAAGGTTATCTTATCTATGAAAACGTGAGGTGATGGACCCAACTCCCCTTAGAGACTGTCACGGACAAAAACCACGCATCTTCTAGCTGTTTAGCCTTCTTTTCTACACTTTTTCAAAAATGAATTTTTGGTCACGTAACGTAGGTTAATAGCTGTCAGCCAAGAGGCTGGGTTTGCCCTTTTCCTGCAATAGATCAAATGGAGCAAAAGTATTGTTGGTGTTCTGCTATAAATAAAGTTTCAGAAACTCCCATCCTGTTGGGTAAAAAAAAAAATATCCTGATAAGTAAAAAAAACACCCATGTTTACAAGTTCTTTCAATCTGAGACAGGGGAAGGGGAAAAGAAAATCATGGAACATGATTTAATGAAGAGGAGGACGAGGGGGGACATGATAGCAGTGTTCCAATATCTCAGGGGCTGCCACAAAGAAGAGGGAGTCAAGCTATTCTCCAAAGCGCCTGAAGGCAGAACAAGAAGCAACGGGTGGAAACTAATCAAAGAGAGAAGCAACCTAGAACTAAGGAGAAACTTCCTGACAGTTAGAACAATTAACCAGTGGAACAACCTGCCTCCAGAAGCGGTGAATGCTCCAACACTGGAAGTCTTTAAGAAGAGACTGGGCAGCCATTTGTCCGAAATGGTATAGGGTTTCCTGCCTAAGCAGGGGGTTGGACTTGATGACCTCCAAGGTCCCTTCCAACTTTATTATTATTATTATTATTATTATTATTATTATTATTATTATTATTAATAATAATAATAATAATAAAAATAATAATAAAAATAATAATAAAAATAATAAAAATAATAAAAATAATAATAATAATAATAATAATAATAATAATAATAATAATAATAATAATAATAATAATAATAAAAATAAAAATGCCAAATCCAGTCTGAACATCTGGCTGACTGTGCGATGATCCATAATAATAATCAATTATATGTGGGAAGATGGTGTACAGGGAACAGACACATACATACCCAGTACAGGTAGTCCTCGATTTAGAATAGTTCGTTTAGTGACTGTTCAAAATTACAACGGCGCTGAAAAAAAGTGACTTATGACTGTTTTTCACCGTTACGACCATCCCCATGATTGTGTGATCAAAATTCAGACAATTGGCGACTGGTTCACATTTATGACGGTTGCTGTGTTCCAAGGTCATGTGACACCCTCCCCCTTTTTGCGACCTTATGACAAGCAAAGTCAAAAGGGAAGCCAGATTCACTTAACAACCGGGTTACTATCTTATCAACTGCAGTGATTCACTTAACAACCGAGGCAAGAAATGTCGTAAAACGGGACAAAACTCACTTAACAAGCGTCTCACTTAAGAAAGAAATTTTGGGCTCACAATTGTGGTCGTAAGTCAAGGAGCACCTGTATACTCTTTTGAGGTTTATCATTTCATGAGTCCTCTCTCCTCTCTTTCAGCTCTTCGAGAACTTCGAATTTGGAGAAGTGCAGCTGAATTCTGTCTGTCTCTCACAGCGATTCTCCACTGACCACTCCGGTTACTACGCCTCGTCTGGGCAGCTCAATTTCTCCTGAATTGCAGACCCATCTGCCCCAATAGATTGCACATAATGAGATCCAGGAGTGTCTAGCACAGAAGGCCATAATGTGCCCTGCTATTAGATCAGGGGTCGCTCTGTCCTCCCCAATCAACCTTAGAACTTTGCCAATATCTGCACAAAACCTCCTGACCTAAGCTGAATGAAAGAAAATAGCTATGCAATCAAATAAGTTACTTTGATTGGCAGGTGTTTTGTTGGGGGAAAAAACAGCTGGAAATAAAGGCGTAATGGTACCTGCATTTGGAAAGCTGTAAATGTACAGAAATTACCCATTAATTATTTTTAATGGCTAACTTTTCAAATAAAAAAAAACCAACATTTTTTTTTGTGGCACTACAGATTGCTGTGAAATCCAAGTGTTTTGTAGCTTTCAAAACCAAACCACTCCCTCTGGTAACCTTGTGATAGTTTTTCCTTAATTGCAAACGGCAATATATTTGCATTACACACACCCCCCCCCAACAACAACAAAACAATATATCGATTTCACGACTTAGGCGGTTCCTAAGTACCACCAAATGTTGATTATTAATTTTGTACGTGTAATGTTTATGTTAATTACGTAGGTACCATTTATTTGATTAATTCTCTTAATTTAGTTTTGTATCAATGTTATTAACAGTCTTGTAATTGTCGGTCAAGTGAAACAACCATAATAGTAAAAATGATGGCAAAAAAATCATCACCAAAGGCCCTTTAGAAGAGTGTTCATTGTCATCTTCTGGAAAGGCATTAATGAAGATACCAATTTAATTTGTAAGGGGTGCCTGTTCCGTAGAACTGGGGCCATGAATGAGGAAGCAGCTTCTAGTTTCATTTCCCATCATTGAAAGTGAGGAGGAATCAGTAGCCTTTCCTGGAATTATCATGAAGGGTTGGAATGATTTGATTAGGAGAAGGTGACCTGTGTGCATTTAGGTCAAGGGTCTTCAAACTTGGCCCTTTTATGACTTGTGGACTTCAACTCCCAGAATTCCTTCCTCATTCTGGCTTTGGCTATTCTTCCTCCCACCAGGTCTGGTGGTGCCACGCTGTCACTATTGTTGTCACTCTAGACTTAAAGCTCCATACCAACCAGAAGGACACAGCTGAATCCTCAGGAGTCAGCTAGGCAGTGAGGGACCATCACCATGCTGTCAAGTACCTCCCAGCTCAGGTTCTTCCTTCAAGTTCCCCCCAGACTGAATGTCACTCCACAATTATTTCAGTAGCCCTCATTCAAATATGCCACATCTACAAACTCTGCCCTCTTCCTAACCAATCACACCATCTTCAATTTCTCTGTTTTGTACCCAACGGTCATATTCATAGCTCTCTATTAAACATTAAACAGTATAATAAAGGCTGATTCATGTTTATAGCTGAAACAATTACCACAATTCAGATAATACTTTTGCAAAGAGCCCTGTTTCTGTGGGTGGGGACCGGGCTTTGTAGGGATCAGAAGTGCACACATCTGCTTTATGGTTTTGGAAGTCCATATCCAGAAATATGATAATACTTAAGTGAACAGTCCAGCCTAGATTACACGTTTGAAGGATCTGCTTCCACGATCACGAACATCGCTTCTTCTATGAATATCAGCCTTGTGGCTTTCATCTTGAAACCATCAGTCGGCTGTTTTACATGAATTCTAGTAAGTCATTTCATAATCACGTATAGAGTGAAGAAACGGGGTAGGGAAATAGTTAAAAGAGATACAAGAATAAGTACAGAGAGAATGCCTGAAATTTTCAAATAATTAGACAAATAAGACGCTGTTATTGGATGCCGAATAAGTCTAGCAAAACCCAACCCATCAGATTTACTGCCTGTTGGTTGAGTATTTTGTCGTAAATAATTCATTTAGGATTTAATTGCTTTTCAAGGGAAGACCAGTGAGTTCAGACAGCATCCATCCCCTGTTACAAATTGGGGGTGCAGTACTTCTGAGAAGTCTGCTGAAAAGAATATGAGTATGTGGTGTTTTCCAGAAAGAAAGATATATTGGGCCACAGGGTTCATTGTGTATTCCTTGGGAACTGTCTTCATGCAATAATAAAAAGTTTCAGCAAAGAGGGGGTTTATTTGCTCAGCCTAGGCCTGCGGACTCTGGATGGTTCTGTTGATGCTTATGAAAATCAAGGCAGGCAGCATCCTTTTTGTAGCAGACACGAATGCACGAAGGATTCTTTCTAAGGGTCAGCCTTAAAATACGAGATGAGGATCCCTGATTATTCCCTGAGTGTCTGATGCCCTTGTTTACATTCGTCAGCTATTCAGAACATCCCTTGAGGCTCTTAGCTACGCTTTGCCTTCGGATAGCTAAGTGTGGTCCTTCAGGTGTGGTCTCAAGAATGCTCCACTCAGCTCAGCAGCTTTCAGCACCTTTGAAGAGATGTTCGGCCAGTGCAATTGTCCGTCTTGAGTCTCCCTTGGCCCCGATCAGAGGTTGAGAGGAGGAGGATTTGGGGAGGTGGCTGCAGTCTGTGTTCTACTCATCCATAAAAGCCAGTAATATGTTCTGCAGCAGAGAGCAATGGAGTGCATCTAAAAGCTTCTTGACATATTTTTCACTACAGTCAAAAATAAGTTGTTTATGCACTTAAGCTGCGTAGTTCGTGCTGAATATTAAAGCCCTAAAGAGAAGAAAGACTGTATTTATTCTTCTTTGTTGGCCAGTTCCTCTCAGATCTTCTTTCCAGTTTCTTTTTCCTGATCCCATTTAACGTGCAGCACCGATTTTTCTTTAGCTGCTTTTGTCATTGTGTAGGTGTCAAAATTAATACCACTGGATCTGATTATTTCAAGCCAGAGGGTGCTGATGGTTCTTGTTTGGCTGTAGCGTTCTACACCTTGTTACTGCCAGCCAAACAACATCAAAGGGGTAGATGTGAAGATTAAATCAGTACTGGAGCCTTTTCAGTTCCGTTGATTCTGGCTCACAGCACAATATTTCCATGCAAAACCATAAGACATTATTTATGAGGTTAAGACCTTAGTATAGCATTTATTTTAATGAAGTTACAAAGTGTTTCATTTAAGTGTGTGTGTGTGTGTGTGTGTGTGTGTGTGTGCTATTCTCCTGTATAATGTATGAGATGTAATTAATTTAACAATGTTGGATTAAGTTGCTAAATTAAACTCACAGTGGAAATAAACATCTGGAATTAATTTCTATCAAACTGAGCTCCAGTCTAATATTTCACAAGGACACTTTTAAAAACAAACTATTTAATACAGAGATGTTAGTGTTATACTAATTAAATTTAGCTGTTTTGAATGTTCTCCTGAAAGAAACGCTGTTCGTGTGTGTGTGTGTGTGTGTGTGTGCACATGTGCCTTTCAGTAAGTGTTGACTCCTGATAACTGCCAGGACAAATCACTGCAATTTTCTAGCAAAATTTTGGATGTAGTTTGCTGTTGCCTGCTTCCTAGGGCTGAAAGAGAATGACTGGCTCAGGGTCACCCAGGTGTCTTTCTGCTAAGGCAGGAATAGAACTCACATCCTCCAGGTGCCTTAACCACTACTACTACTAAACACAATTTAATAATGGGCACACTTGGAAGTGTATCGTCATAAATCATACAGTATACTGCAAGAAAAGTTTATGTTTAATCCATACAGAAGTAGTTATAGATAGATTGATATCTCAGTAAAGATTTGGAAATGACACCCTACAACAGACATGTCAAACACAAGGCCCAGGGGCCAGATGCGGCCCACAACGTGGTTTCTTGTGGCCCGCGAAGCCATCCTGGAAACAGTGAGGGAATGGCCCCCGCTGCCTTGGCCCTGGCCCAGACTGGCCGGGAGCCAATGAACAATTTTGTGGTGGCCATCTATGCTGAAACACATTCAGTCTTAGCTCCACAAGGCTGTCTGAAAACAATGAGGAACCAGCCCCTGCCGCATCAGCCCCGTCCCCTGGTGCATGCTGGGGAGGTGTCACCGTTTGTGAGGAATGAAGAAATGCACCATTGCCTGGAAGTGGCCAGCAAATGGCCCTCGCCTACTTCACATATCCGGCTTGATGGGGTCTGGGGGAGGGGTTTCAGCAGGCTCTTCCAGTGGACCATGCCTTGGCGCTTGCCCTGGTCCCACCCCATTCTGCCAGAGACCCTCAGATCTGTCCCAGGTCCCCACAGGCACCCTTGACGCAAACAATGTAGAGCTGGCCATGCCCACCCAGTAGGCACACCCATTCCAGCCATGCCCACCCAGTAGGCCGCATCCACCCTGGCCACACCTACCCGGCCCCCCGAGGACAACCGCAATGCTGAATGCGGCCCTCAATGAAATTGAGTTTGACACCCCTGCCCTACAATATGCCAATTAATATGGCATGCAAGTCGACACATAGGGCAGTTCTATTCATATACCCCGAGAGACACCAACTAGCCATGAAGTTGTCCGCTAATATATTGTGTGAACCTAGCCTGTGCAGTAACTTGATGGCACAGTGTGTTGGAGGTGCTGTTCAAACCGAGACTGAGAAAACAATGGCTACGTGAATATCTATGGAGATTCTCAGTCATTCAGGCTTGGTTGTCTCAAAGGTGCTTTTTCAAAAGGCAACTGGACTTTCTCTGTCTTTCCTGAAGCGAAACGTCTTCAAGGAAAAACAAAGTCCAGTTGCCTTTTGAAAAAGCACCTTTGGGACATGGCTACATGAACTGGAGTCTACAGCAGTGGCCCCCAACTTTTTGGGCACCAGGGACCAGTTCCATGGAGAGAGGTTTTTCTGCGGCCTGGAGGGGGGCATGGTTTTGTGTGTGGCCTGCATCCCATGGATGGGGCTTTGCTTGTTTGCGCGGACCAATTTCTGGCATGACGTGGGCTGGTGCTGGTCCACGGACCAGGGGCTGGGGACCCATAGTCTATAGATCCATTGTCTATATCAGGGGTCTTCAAACTTGGCCCTTTTATGACTTGTGGACTTCAACTCCCAGAATTCCTCAACCAGCATGCCTGGCTGAGGAATTCTGGGAGTTGAAGTCCACAAGTCATAAAAGGGCCAAGTTTGAAGACCCCTGGTCTATATCATGGAGAATTGATTTAATTTCTTATAGTAAATATAAAGCCATTTTTCTAGTCACTCCCAGTGACTGATTATGGTAACTATTCTGTAATAAGGACTTCTATGTATCTCATAATGTCAAATCATTGTTGACTTGGGGGATCTTGACCACAAGAGACCTATTTGCCACCTGCAGGGCAGAGTTCTGGCAAGGATTCATCTTTGCTTCTGCAACATGCAAAACACAAATACAGGTAGCCCTGAACGTATGAACCACAAA